CAGACACAAACACAACAGCATTAAACAATAAATTTAGTGCATTAAGCGTACCAACTGAATCAACCAGCAATGAAATATCCACAGATATTCCTAAGAAAATACCAAAACCGCCTCCAATATTTATCTATGGCGTAATAGACTATGAAGCAATGGTACACCAACTAGGAAATATCATCGAGGCTGACAAATATACAACTAAATGTTTAGCAAACAATACAATAAAGGTCAATTCTGCTATACCAGACACATACAGGAAGTTAATAAAGTTCTTACGTGAACAAAATATTGTACATCATACTTATCAACCGAAGGAGGAACGTGCATATCGAGTGGTTATTAAACACTTAAACACATCACACAACAAATATTGAAGAAATCAAACAAGAACTAGCGAATCAGGGACATAATGCAAGAAATGTCATAAACGGGAGACAGGGTGTTACCAAGGAGCCTCTTAATATGTTTTTCGTTGACTTAGAACCAGCCAGCAATAATAAAGATATATACAAACTACATGTGCTCCGAAATAGGTCTGTACAAATAGAACCTCCGAGAAAATTAAAAGACATTGTGCAGTGTATGAGATGTCAACAATATGGACACTCCAAGACATATTGTAATAGACCATATGTTTGCGTTAAATAATTATGCGGTGGTTCGCACAACACTACTGCTTGCAAAAAAAGGAAAGATACTCCCTCCCGCTAAATGTGCTTTATGCGATGGTCCTCACCCAGCTAACTACAAAGGATGTGAATTTTATCACACGTTGTTAAAACCTAACAACACCAACAATAGATTAAATTCAATACGCTCCAGTAATATGGAGTGTGTAACGACAAATCGTCCAGCCGCGCCTGTCAGCCGTGCACAGCAAAGCAGCCAAAGCTAAGAACAACCGAGAAGTTATGCGGACGTTACAAAACTAAATCCATAACAACCTACTGATGTAAGTAACATTTTAAATAAATTTCTAGACGAATTCAAAACAATGTTCCAACAACCCATAAACCAGAACAGCATGGTTTTGAACATGCTTACCTCGCTTATAAACAAAATTCAATAATTTTATTAGAATTGCTGTGTGGAACGCAAATGGCCTCCTACAACACAAAAATGAGGTTGAGGTGTTCTTGCATCAAAATCTGATAGATTTTTTATTAATAAGTGAAACCCATTTTACAGACAGATCCTATTTCAAAATAGCAAATTATAATATATACCATACTAACCATCCAGACAACACTGCTCATGCTGGAACCGCTATTATAATAAAAAAATCCATCAAGCATCTGGAATTACCTAAATACAGTACAAACCACCTGCAAGCTACTACCATAAGAGTTAAGACAAGCGCTTATGAGTTAACAGTTTCTGCAGTTTATTGCCCACTCAAGACACAACATTAAAAAAGAAAACTTTATTGACTTCTTCAGTACTCTGGGCAACAAATTTATTGCTGGTGGTGACTACAATTCTAAACACACATATTTCATATTTGGTTCGCGCCTGACAACAACTAAAGGCAGAGAACTGGCTAATGCCATTCACGAAAAAAACTACTCTGTTCTTTCAACCGGTACCCCTACTTATTGGCCAACTGATCATAATAAAATTCCAGACCTCTTGGATTTTTTCATTACAAACGGTATATCCTCTAATTACATGGAAGTTGTTTCAAGCTACGATTTATCCTCCGACCGTTCTCCAATAATTGCTACAGTCAGTAGCTGTGTCATTCATAAGGACGCTACTCCTAGACTACACAATCGAAGAACAAACTGGGATGATTACCGCAGTAAAATTGAAAACAAAGTTAAACTTAAAGTAAGTCTTAAAACAACTAACGAAATAGACGAAGCAGTTGCGACCTTAGTCAGTGTCCTTCAGGAAGCAGCTCAGCTATCCGCTCCGCTTTCAAAAACACAAAGCAGTGTTTTTCATATTCCACTTGAAATCAAAAAACTAGTAGCAGAAAAAAGTAGCAGGGCAATATGGCACCGAACGCATGCACTAACAGACAAAACTGCTTTAAACAGAATTAGTAATCAATTGAAGACAAAAATCAAAGAAGCCAAAGAGAGGTCTTTTGCAGAGTACGTAAAAAATTTAAACCATTATGACAACTCCATATGGAAACCAATCAAACATTCAAAGAAACCTAAAACTCAATCACCTCCCCTTCGTAACGAGCTAGACCTGAATCTGCCGTGGGCCAGAAGTGATAAAGAAAAAGCACACCTTTTTGTAGAACACCTCGCAAAAGTATTCTCACCGCAAAACAATGACTTAAATCATGAAATAGAAAGAAGTGTGTCAGTTCTCCCATTAGACATATCAGCAATCAAGTTTTTAATAGTTAAAGAAATTCAGCACGAAATTAACAACCTAAACCCTCGTAAGGCACCAGGAGTGGATAAGATAACGTCAAAAATGTTAAAAGAACTACCAAGGAAGGGCTTAGTACTTATCACATATATATTTAATGCCATCATAAGATTGAACTACTGGCCGAGATCGCTGAAAACAGCCGAAATTATAATGATCCCAAAACTCGGTAAAGATTTAAACAGAGTCTCCTCATATCGCTCTATTAGCTTACTACCATTGGTTTCCAAAATTCTTGAAAGACTGATACTTCGTAGAATCAATTCAGATCCAAAAACCGAAAACTGGATACCACATCACCAGTTTGGGTTTCGAGAACGACATTCCACTATTCAGCAGATACATCGGATTACCAGCAATATAACTCAAATTCTTGAGGACAAAAAGTATTGCACATCAGTGTTTCTTGATGTTAGTCAGGCTTTCGACAAAGTATGGCATACAAGACTACTTTACAAAATTAAAAATTATCTTCCCATGTCCTACTTTCCGATATTGAAATCCTACCTAAATGGTAGAGTGTTTAGAGTCAGAATAGGTGAGGATATATCTGAAAATTACAGCATAAATGCAGGTGTTCCACAAGGTAGTGTCTTAGGACCACTACTCTATGTCCTTTTTACAGCAGACTTTCCCACAAACAACGAAACAACAACGGCTACTTTTGCAGATGACACAGTAATTATGGCTGTCAACAAAAAGCCGGAAACAGCTTCCTTGATATTACAAAGACATCTAAATGTAATAGAGGCATGGTTACGTGATTGGAAAATAAAAATTAATCCATCAAAATCGGCCCAAGTAACTTTTACTTTAAATAGAGACCAGTGCCCTCCAGTATATTTAAACAACACACTAAATCCGCAGTCTTCCTCTACCAAGTATTTAGGCCTGCACTTGGACACTAAGCTTACCTGGAAAGAACACACAGTAACGAAACGTAAGCAAATAGATTTAAAAATAAAAGACTTCTATTGGTTAATGGGAAGAAGATCCAAACTATCCCTAGAGAATAAACTTCTTTTATACAAAACCATAATAATATCTATTTGGACATATCGAGCAGAACTCTGGGGATGCGCTAGTAAATCAAATATAGCCATAATACAAAGGAGCCAATCTAAAATTCTACGGATGATAACAGACGCACCATGGTATGTCTCCAATCACACTATACATGAAGATTTAAAAATTCCGTACGTCAAAGAAGTCATCCAAACTCGGAGTAAAAAACATTTCATTAGACTACACGATCACACCAATACCTTACTTCAGCCTCTACTTGAACCAGTACCTACAAGAAGACTTAAAAGACAATGGCCATCTGATTTGAAAGAATATTAAGGAGGATTTTTCACTGGAGAAGATCTCATCACGTTAACTGGAGCGTCATTGCTCTCAAGTCATCAAATTAGTCCATAGAATTTCCTTGCAAATATTCTGATTGCTAATAAATCATAATAAAAGAAAATCGATAGAAAATGACACTCTGAATAGAATGGCATATCATATGGCAACTTTTGACATTTTCGCTTAAAAAATTCTATTTTAAATTTCAATCTAGAATGTCATGACTGTGTTAAAAACACTAATTTTAATCAAGATGCCTTGAAAAAATAGATTTGATCGCCTTTTGTTTTTCACGTCTTGTCCTGGCTTTTTAAAAGATGCCCAAATTGTATTTTTAATCATATCTCAATTTTTACAAATGGATCGAGGGTGGCTCATTGACATATTTAGAAAAATATTTTTTTTTATAAATAATTTGGTTTGGTAAATATTAAAATCGCAATCGCAGGTTACAGTCATTACGGTTTAAAAATCCAAATCGCAGTTTCACTTGCGATTGGAGAATCGCAGTTTTGCTCATCTCTACTAAATAGTCAGAATCAGCAACTTGTCCCATCTCTAAACAGTTATTTTGAACAGGAAGGTGATCATGGTGAGCCCTTTTTGCTGTTAAGCTGACCACACAGAAGAGGTAAAAATTGATATTGTTGCTTAAGTTTTGTGGTTTTTATTAAATAAATAAGTAATACATTATTGTTCAATACACCCCAAAAAAAGACAGTTAAATCATAGAAATTAGAGGTTGGGCAAAGGTTGACCGAGTCGTTTATTTGAACGAGTATTAAAAATGAATTGTGGGATTCCATTCACGGCATAGAATACGGTGAGCGAGTCGTATACGTACAAGAGGATCGAAAAAAAAAACGGCGTCAGCGATGGCTGTGAAATGAAGATCGCTGTCCCAACACACAAAAAAACTTCGCCGAAAATCGTAACTCAATAGCATGTTAAAACAAAATAATACCTTGTTATGGCACTATGGTTTACGCGGTCAAAGCCGACGTTTTAGCGGCATTTTCATCAATTTGAATTTTAACCATTTATTATGGCGTTAATACACCAGATAAAAATTTTCGAAATATTTTATAGAGGTGCTTTTGGAGTCTAAATGATTATTTTAAGACAAGGGGACTATAGTCAAAAATTAAAGTAAAAGAGGTGGTGTTGGCAACATACATTCGTTAAATGTGTTGATGATGTGCGCGCCAACTTTTATTAATTTTCTTATAATACATTCTTAATAATAGTTTTTTATGTTCTAGCAATTGGCTGAAAAGCAAAAAGCGCATCTCTTAGTTTCTGTTAGCATAGAACATCCAGATTCAGATGAGGAAAATAATAGTGAACATCAGCAGCAAGCCCAGTTAAGAAAATTACAATTTGATCAGGAGATGATGTTGGAAAGGGAACAGAGGGTAAAGCAGATTGAATCAGATGTTTTAGATGTTAATCAAATCATGAGAGAATTGGGTTCTTTAGTTCATGATCAGGGTGAATTCGTAGGTATGTCGACAAGTTCATAAGATCATAAGTAACTAGGTTAAATATACTGAAAGATACAACTGACACAAATATCATTGGAAATTTTGTTTGCGCAATAATTGCATTTTAGTATCATTGGTAAAAGTCAGTTTACACTACGTGCAATACGTCGCGGACGAGGTCGCGACACGCTACGTAGTTATATTTTATCTGCAGTCAGTTGGGACAGTATAAAAAAGCTTGGTTGGCATGCTTTGTAAAATGAGACCGAGTCATAGGCGGAATATTTAATAATGCAATAAAATAAATTAAATTTACATTGTTTTATTTTAGGCTATTATCTAAAAATATTTTTATAGAAGACATGTACTGTATAGGAAGATTCCTAATATGAGATAATTATTGATGCAATTTTTATACACATGTAGATAAAATATAAAAATCCTATATTTCTTGACTGTGTTGATAGAATCAGTAGAATATTTTACGTAAATTTAGTATTTATTGATAATTTATACCAGAGGTAAAGATGAAAAAAAAATCACAAACAAAATGATTAAAACCTAACACTTACTTTTTATCACCGTATGCTAATCTTACTGATAAAATCTAGACCAAAGTCATGACTACAGTAGTATGTCTCAGGATTGTCTTTACAAGAGGAAAAACTTTTTTATTATTAACGTTTTGTGAAAAATGCGTTCTTCATAAAAAATTTTGCTTTTTCTAAAATGGTTAATTCTGTTTATACTTTTCCATACCGTTTTAAAGAAATTTTAAAAAAAGCATGAAAATAAGGTTGAACTTATAAAAATCAAAATGCGTTTCTATGGTAATATCATTTCAACTACATTCTTCCTTAGATGGTTGTTATTAATTTTGATTAACGTCATATTTTTTGCTATTTATTGTTAAGATATCACATTTTCCGATAACTATTATCACCTTTTTCGTGGCACTAAACCAAATACATTTTGTGCTTCTTTAATATTTTAAAACTGCAATAAATATGACGTTAATTAAAATTCTATCAAAACAATCTATCAAAGAACGAAAACGAAATTATATTACCATAGAAACGCACTTTGATTTTTAGGACTAAACATATTTTCATGTTTTTTTAATTTTCTCTAAAACGGTATGGAAATTTGGAAAAGCATAAACTGGATATGGTGCCCGGTGGCGTAGAGGTACAGGCTCTCGTCTACCAATCTCAAGGTAGTGGGTTCCAAACCCGGCATTTCATCAGCCGATTATTTTTATTAAAATAAAAATAGTTTGGGTACCTAGATCGACTCAGCCTTAAATGAGTACTTGGGATTCACAATCCTGAGATAATAATAGGCGGTTGAAGCGTAGTGCTAGCCACATTACCTTCCTTGTATATCGAACGCCTCTAGTATGGCAAGCTGTACCTTGCTACTCCCAAGGCGTCAAACGCTATATACGGGAGCTATTATTATTATTATAAACTGGATTAACCATTTTTGAATAAGCAAAAATCTTTATAAAGAATGCATTTATCTCAAAACGTCAACAATAAAAAAGTTTTTTTCAAAAAAAGTCCTATGGGTATTTCGCTACTAAGAAAATCTACAAAATAAAATAGTTATTTTTTGTAAACACTGCTGCGTTAATTCAAAGGAGACCAGCTTGTTAGCAGTGATTTACTAATAAACAAATTTGCCTAACGGCCAAAAAATGCTTAACGTTTTGGGAAGTATAGCAAAAAAAACACAAAGATCAAAGGAAAAAAAAACAATTTAAAATATCTAATAATTTTTTTTTCAAACAGATACGTCTATAAAAACCGCTGACGTTCTAGAACGTCACTAAAATTTGTTATTAGTGACAAAAAAATCAATATTTAAATTGTGGAAGACTAAGTGCCCTATTTTATACATCATCATTATCATATCGCTTTTTGAACTGATATCATTATTTAATGAAATAATAACTAATAAGATTAACTAATTAATTATTAATTATTAATAAATAAGATTTACAAGTGGTAAAACACAATATTCGTTTTCTTTTTCGATTACATTACTTTTCGATTACTGCCTGCTTCCAGAGCTCTCTGAGTACTCCATACCATCTTAATTGGGTTAGACACAATAATAGGGCTGTAAACGTAATACCTCATGACCTTTTTTTGAACGAGGTTGTCAACGGTAAATTAGTGAGTCGAGCAGCATAGGCCGGCTACTACCACAGAATATCTAGCTACGCAACAGAAAAATACTCGAAATGAAAGAGCTAAAATTGCTCAAATAAAATACTAGATGGCGCGATAATATCATAATCAGAATTTAATTGGAAATTTTCAATTTTCGGTTTTGGATCTACGGCACGTCGGTGGCCTTGAAGCTCGGCTAAATATGCACAGTTGCCAGATTCAAAAAGACTTTAATTGGCATCCCATTCTTTTTCTGGTGTATAATAATTTCTTTCTATTCTTCGTTTCTTGTCAGATACACATATTAATTATTCGTTTGCCTTTTAAAATAGTTTTAAATTTAAGTATATTATTAGGAAACATATGCTCACAAAATACATTTTTAATATACACTACTTTATAATGTTAACTAAGAAAATAACTTTAATTACCTTTAAAATTAATAATATACAGGGCGATTGATAGTGATATTTATTAATGCTGAAACGTTAGTAATGAAATATACGGTTAATAAATAATGGAAATAATTATTAAAATGCAGTACAAAAAATGTTAATTGCCTAAAAAATTCTAAAATAACAAATTTCTTCTGTTTGCCACGTCATTTATATACACCTAGGTAGATTTTAGAAGGTCACACAGGTACAATTAATAATATATTAGTTCGGCATAAAAGTTGCTGTCACGACATCGTACAATAAATTAAAATTCGTAAAATAAATTAATATTATTAATTAAACAAATCTTTATAAAGAAACGCAAGTATACCGAATTTGGACCCATTCGAACTCCAGGAAATTATATCATAATAGTGTACTATATTATGGTACCACTCGATATGCTTCATAATATTGCAATGTCACCGAAGATCCGTAGTATACCAAATTTAATCACAATCGAACGTCAGGAAATTAAGGTAGGTACAACTTTATTTGCATCATAGTACCATCATATTACAATGTCATTGAAATATTTTGTGTGTACCAAGTTTAAGCCCAATCGAACACCAGGAAATGGTATCGTAATATGGTACTACATTATGGTACCTCTTGATATGCTTCATGGTACCATAGTATTGCAAAGTCATCAAAAATACGCAAGTGGTATATGAGCCCAATCGAACGTCAGGAAGTGGTATAATATGGTACTATAAAAGGTACCACTTTATATGCGTCACATTACAATGTACCATCATATTACAATGTCACCGAACATACGTAGTATACAAAGTTTAAGCCCAATCGAACGCCATGTATCGTAATATGGTTCTATATTATGGTATACGGTATCACTTGATATGCTTTATGGTACCATAATATTGCATGAAAATAATGAAAAATACGCAAGTATATATCAAATACGGAATACCGTATGATACCGAAAAAAAAACGGCGTCCCGTTGGCTGGGAAATGACGATCGATGACATTTCCCATATAAATTTATATATAAAATGACAGCGATTTTCATTTCATAGCCATCGCTAACGCAGTTTTTTCCCGATCATACAATATGAACACAATCGAACGTCAGGAAGTGGTAACATAATAGTAGAACAAAACTTATGATATTGTCGCCAAATTACAATAAAAATTTAGGATTCAATTACAATCAAACGTCACAAAGTGATTGTAATTCAGCTCGTAAGATTTAACTCCAACTAACATGGCAAGTTAAATACCTAAACGTTTGAAAAAAGAGCTCTGATCTATTTTAATATGTTTAAATGATGTAGCAAATTTGAAGGTAGGCTTTATAAGGAAGTATTACAATATGAATTACATAATGGCAACACTGCATAAAATTCTTTTAAATTTCATTTGTAGAAAACTGTTTTCTTTTAAATTTATCGCCCTCTATTATGTACTACTTAAAGCTTTAAAAGCCTGTCTCCTTTTGATACCTACCGTTTTATACATGTAAAGAGGCTTCTGTTGCGTGGCTAGATATTCTGTGCTACTACTATATAGGGTGGTCCGAACTGTATTCCGGAAACTTCGGCAGTATATTCTACAGTAAAAAAAGTACAAAAGTTTGTATAAATGTATGTCCAAAAGTTCTTAGTTTCGGAGATACAAGGTGTAGAAGTTTCATTTTGATTTCGTTTTATTTTCAAATAATTTACGAAGTAACGTCAATATTTGGATGAAAATTGGTGTTTAGGAGTTTTTGACATGAGAAATTTGATTTTGATGTCAATATGACCTCTACTTGTAGGGGACGCCACCTATATATTTTTTAACTGGAAATTAGAGAGGCAATGTGCATAATTTAAAATTATTTTCAAATGTACAGTGTGCGTCAGAACTAAGATCCATACCAAAGTTATATTTTCTCTTATGGAACACATACACCCGGTATTATATTTCATTTTTGGATTTTTAGGCATAAAATAAGGCTTTTTTTTTATAAGAGTTTCATATGTTTAAATGCTTTGGTTTTTGAGATATTTAAAAGATACTTAAATATGTGCATGCTATAATAGAATAGATAATTAACACCCTGTACATTACTTTTCAGAATTAATTCTAGTGTTGAGTTTAAAGGTAGAGAAATAATCTTTACTAAAAAACGTTATTGCTTCCTTAAATTTATACAGGGGTACCAAAAATTGCTAATCTATTTTAAGGATTTATTTTATATACAAACTTAGTTATTATATATAAATGCAACACCCTGTATTTTTTAAAATAAATTGAAGCAGATTCAAATGCTCTTTCAAACTATATTAGGGTTTCCTATACCTATCTAGTACAGATTTTGAATAAAAAGCATTTTTCGATAAAATGGTAATCAAGATGGCTGGTGTCGACATGGCAATTTGCTAGTGACAGTTAGGGTGTATTCCGTTACTTACCTTGGTTATGGTTTTATGTTCCGTTTCTATCGGTTTCCTGAAAGTTTTCTTATTATGGAACACGGTTCCTGATAAATTCGGTTATAACTGTCACCAAACTAACCAGCGTGAGAAGGCTGGTTTTTCTGGTTTTATTTTTCAATCAGTGTCATTTATGTGACAGAAATCAAGCAAATATTGGAAGTTCGAGTGAAATTCTCATTTAATTCCTAAAATTTGTAATAATATTTTGTATTTACATCCAAAAGCAATGGAGGTAGGCTTAAAGGTAAATAAATTTCATTAACTGAATAGAATGACTTTTTAGGACCATTTAAACTTATCATGCAGCCATTGTTTCTTAAAGTCAGGAACATTTAAAGAAAGCATGAAAAACACGACAAAAAGTAATCCTGAATATTTTGTGAGCTGTAAAAATATAAATATTGATTAGATTTGTTTATTTGTTATTGATCTGTTTTAATATTGGACCTGGGGTCCGGTGAACTATTCTGACACACGATTTTTGCATTTTTTTTTATCAAAAAGTAACCATTTTTAGTAGTAGTTTTAAATAAAAATAAATGGAGATTATGCACAGAATTTTAAAATATTTTAATTTAATTTTAGTAGTTTTTGACACATATTTGACGTTATGGAGAATTTTAACACTTGATTTAACAAGACAGCGACAAAAGGAAAAGCAATGTTGCCAGTTCCACTGAATTTTCTTTTTCTGTTTTTTATTTTTATTTTGAAAAAATAACCATTTTTAATAATAAAAATGCGTTGGTAATGTGTGAATGGAAAAACTAAAAAAACAACAGAAGAGTGAAACAAAATATCAATAAAACAGATAAAAAGAAAAAAAACAGCCAAACCAACACAAACCAACCCGACCAAACCCTAACCGACCCATACAAAACCAACCAATACAAAACCAACCAATACAAAACCAACCAATACAAAAACAAACCAACCGATACAAAAATAAACCAACCAATACCAAACTAACTCAACCCGAGCCAAACACAAACCAGAGAAATGAAAACATGCTTACAGCGTGTTTTCTTTGCTTTGGAGGCTTCCAGCTTACAGCGTGTTTTCATTGCTAGAGCTATAACTATAGCAATTGTCTCACCTGCGCGGTAATTTAGCCAATTTGATAAACTAAAGTAATCTAATTCGTATTAAAAAAAACATTTTAAAACCTATGACATCATTTTTTTCCCTAAACAAAAAAGATGCATGAAATTCCGGATAATTTACTAGCTGATCTGACAACCATGTATCATTTCGCAATATTTGTCAAAATTCGACCTTCACTACTGTCAGCGTAAACATTGAAACGGATATAAACAAGTCCGCGACTCTTTCATTATCGGTTATGGAATTTGCCCTGGAATTTGCTATAAAAATCAAATAACAACATTTTTAAGAATATTTTTTATGTGAAACATGTTTTTCCGCATCAGATTTTAGTCAAAGAATCCAAGAAGTTCATTTTAAGGTAACATAAACTTCATTTTCTAAGAAAAATCGTGTGTCAGGATAGTTCACTGAAGCCTTTGACCTGCAAATCTTCACTTGAGCTGTCTAACGAGTTTAACAGTTTATTAATAAAGTACTTTTCAGTATTAAACTCCATTGAAAAGGAGAAGCAAACGTAAAAGCAGAGAACAGGTACATTAAAAATGCATAATAGATAAATTTTATAATAGGGGTATTGAAATTTAGAAAACGTCAACATTTGACGTTTCCAGTATTTTACCAAACCGTTCCGTATCAAACCGATGTTTTTCGGGAATCGCTCTTTTACCTGTCTGGTTCGCCTGGTTTTGCAACGGAATACAGCCTTAGTAACTATTTTCAAAATCGACATTAGTTTATGGACTTTATTTAAATTCACTTTTTTTCATTGTTTATTTTTATTTAATTAACCTGCAATAGTTTAATAAAGAAGTAGTTCAGTGATTTATATTACAATGACTTGTAGATATATTGGATTTTCTATAAAAGAACCAATTAAGGCAAACTCATTTTCTTCACTTCTAACGACAGGTTTCTGCCTAATAGATTTTTCATATACAACACTATCAGCTCTGCGAAATAGGAAAAGTAGTTTTTCAAAGGAACGCTTTTCAAGAAAATTCCTATTTGGATATCTTTGAGTATAAACACTTCAGGCTAACAACAAGCAATAATTGTCCTCAGTCCTCACAAAATAAAATCACTAGTAACATATCCATTCCTTCCGCCAGCAGATACTGCTCCATTTTTCTTGATAAAATAATAAATTAATAACATTATTGTAGGTAAATTAAATAAAAATAGTCTGTTATAAATTTAAATAAAGTCTATAAATTAATGTCGATTTTGAAAATAGCTACTAAGTGTCACTAGAATATTGCCAGGGCGACACTAGCCATCTTGATTACAGTTTTATCGAAAAATAGCTTTTTATTCAAAATCTGAGCCAGATAGGTATAGGAAACCCTAATATAGTTTGAAAGGGAATTTGAAACTGCTTCGATTTATTTAAAAAATACATAGTGTTGCATTTGAAATAACGAAGTTTTATGTAAAATAATTATTTAAAATAGACCAGCAATTTTTGATATCCATGTATACATTTAAGGAAGGACTAAATTTGTTTAATAAAGTTTATTTCTCTGGCTCAAAAGTCAGCACGAGAATTAATTCTGAATAGTAATGTACAGGGTGTTGACAAACTTTTTTATTATAGGATGAATATTTAAATGTCTTTAAATATTTCAAAAAGGAAAGCTTTTAGACTTATTAAACCTTTGTAATAAATGCCTTATTTTATGTCCAAGAATCCAAAAATGAAATAAAATACCGGGTGTTCCACAAGAAAAAATATATCTTTGGTATGCATCTTGGTTGTGACACACCCTGTACATTTCAAAATAATTTTAAATTATGCACATTGCCTTCCCACATATACCCATAAAATATTTTGTTTCTACATCTTTCCGTTTTCGTATAATCAACATAATCAACCGAGGCGTATGAGGTTCGCCACTTTGTATGTACATATATAATATTCTACTATTTCCAGTGTTGTGTTATTTAGCTTTGTTCATTTATATCTAGTTATTTGCCTTCATTTATGTTATTTTGGTGTATTATCTTCTTCTTTATGTACCGTCTCCATATCGGAGGCTATCATCATTGCTATTTTGACCTTGGAAGCTGCGACCCTAAATAGGTCAGATGACGTGACATTAAACCATTTTCGCAGGTTTCTGAGCCAGGATATTCTTCTCCTTCCAACAGATCTTTTTCCTACAATTTTTCCCTGGATTATGAGTTGCAAAATCTCATACCTTGGACCTCTCATGATATGGCCGAGATATTGCAATTTTCTTTTTTTCACTTCCTTGAGGATCTCTACGCCCTTCCTCATTCTTCTCAGAACCTCCACGTTTGTTACATGTTCTGTCCATGGTATTCTCAACATCGTACGGTATGTCCACATCTCGAAGGCCTCCAGTTTCCGCTCGCAAAGCTCGCTGAGGGTCCAAGCTTCTATACCATACAAAAGGATTGGGAATACATAACATTTGAGTATACCAGTTCTATACGACAGTATATTGAGTATTTGGTCTTCTTAACATTGAGTATCGGACCATAAAAGCCTTGTTATTTTGTGGGTTAGGTGTTTGCATTGGTGGTTGTGCTGTCTGTTTGCAAAATAGTTGGCTAGTTTGAAAACTGGCCAAGTATCCATTTTAGCCGTAACATATATATTAGTAGCAAAATAAAACACTAATTCACCACAATCAATGCAATACACCAAATCTCTTTACTTTTGCACTGGATGCGCGTTTCGCTAACCGTGGTGGTATTATCAACAGATTATTAAAACTGGTTCAATAACTTGGTTAATAATTTGGTAAACTAGTATAGGTACTAGTGTATATGTATTAGTAGTTGCAGTATAATATATTAGTAATATTTTATTATAGCTACCTTAGTTTTTGGAGAGCGTCTCCGTTTTTTTCGCCCTTTTTTTGCCCTCCCGGAAAGCTATAAAAATGTGAGAACCCTAGTTCTAGTATCTGTTATTTAATGTATTTTTATACATTTTTTACATTTTCTTTTTTATGTATTTCAGACAGTTTAGAGAGAAACATTGATCATGCTACGGGAAATGTGGAAGAAGGCGCTGAACAATTAGTAAAAGCATCAAGATATACAACTAGGTACAGAAGGAAGTTATTAATCTTAGTTATAATAGCAGCTATTGTTGTCGCTATATTAATATCTATACTTGTTACATCTATTAAAAGATAGGGTGACCAAAAAAATGCTTAAAAATATCTTAAGGAATATTTATGGGATAGAGTTACCTTTTGTGATAATTTTTTAAGTTTTTATCTAAAATGACTTATGTATTTTTCTTCTAAAACAAACATTAGATATTTCAGCTTGTTTGTACGTTAGAATTGTCTTCAATTTCGAAGAATTATATAATTTTATTACCTCTTCAAATATTTTTTGAAATTGGCAATGAAATAATAAGCATAGTCTGCCCAGTGAGAGAATAGACAGTGAAATTTCTCTGTCATATTATATCAAAAGTAATTTATTTTGCCATTTTTTATGTCATCTGTTGGAACTCTTTCTCTCACTGTATTGGCTTTAGATAGAGGTGATTACAAGGGACATTCTGATAAAATAGAATAAATAACGCTTGAATGTGAAAACAGTTTGGTGATAAAAATAGAGCTAACTTTCCCCCACCACTTCATTTGATCAGATTACCCTATCCGAATGGTTCAATAAAAAAAAATCCGAAATTTGTTGGATATTATGACGCCATTATATGTAGTACCTATAGGCAGAATTTTCTGAAAATTCACTTTCTTATTTGCCATAGCAGTTGCGTCCATTCTACAAACTTGAAAACAAATTTCAACAATTTCTCACGATCTCTTTAGTTTAATTTTTTTCTCTTAAATATATTTTTCGCAGGCTAGAACTATTCTTAGTGGAACACCAAAATTTTAGCAAAAAATATTTTTTTTTTGGAAATTCAGCAGTTCAATCCAGAAGTTTCCGATGTCGCTTCTTGAAATCGTCTCTTCTCTCGCCAGACAGACTTCTTATCTAGTTACTAAATATTTGTATGTACTAGAGATCTTTTATTATTTTTAGAATTAGCAGTTTCTTTATATTGTTATTTTTATTAATTCTACATATAAATGATTCTATGTATTTTTTCTTATTACCATTTTGTACTAAATATTCGTTTATTCTATTATGTATATTTATAAACGATGTACAGTATGGCTATTTAACTATATTTTATAAATATTGTCTTATTATCTTTTGTAATAAGTGCTAATTTTTGTAATGGATGTTACCACATTTTATTCAATAGCCAGCTGCTTTATTCAATATTTGTTGGGCAATACAGGCATACACATCTTTGAACCTCTTTTGTTGGTTTCCTCGTATTTTTGGCTTTTATGTCTGTTGGACTAAGGCAAGAATGTCTGTAAATAGTGGCGAGTTGGCATCATATGGACGTTCTTATTTTATTTATTATGTTATGTCTATTTAGTTTTTTTTGTCACATAAGAAATTTGTTCGACTGTTTCACGCCAAAGGTGTAGAAGACGAAAAAGAGTTGTGTTCCAATAATGCAACTGTGCACACTATCAGTGAACCAAAAGAGAGAAAACCCTATTGACTGAATTAAGGTAGGCGAATATTTGAATTTGTTTTTTTTTTTTCAATAATAATTAAATAATTTTATATTTCCTTTCCCGCAAATTATTGATATTTTTCTTTCTCGCAACATTTCGCAAAGAACCGCAACTATTTACAGTCAACTCATTTTTTTAAAACTTATTTAATCACAAACATAGGGTAAGCCACTACAAACTCTAAATAGTTATTGATTAAGCTGTGGTACTCCTGATCTAATAAACGTTATTATAATTAACGTATTTTCATGTAGGAAGTAACTGCAAATTAAAACACTAAAACACCACAATATGCCAAAACACTTACTTTTACGCTGGACGCGCGTTTTGCTAACCATGTTAGCATCATCAGCAAATGATTAAAACTCTTTAAAATTTTTAAAAATTATATAAAAACAAGTGTTTTGGTGTTGTAACAACAAAGGTTCCAACTCCCAACTGTAATTTAGGAAGGAACTACTTACTTTCTATCCCGGTCGTCGCTGGAGAAGATTGCTGGAGAAGGTGACTGATATAACTCTTAGATTGCTTAGATATGTCTGCGATGTTTTGTTACAGTTTTATTGTGTTCGTTTCATATTTTTTTTGTGGTGAAGCGGTATTGGAATACCGACATTACTAGCATGTACGAAACTCCAGAAGTTTACTTTTCCGATTTTCAATTGCTGAATAGATAGTTGTTTGCTATATTTTATAACTCCTGTTTACTTATTGCGTTTGCTTAAACCTGAATGTCAAACCTCATTATGTCGATGTTTAAGTGGCTTAAATCATGAGCAGTATACATATTTGAATACATACTAATTGATTTTTTTTCTTTAGATAAAGATTTACTACTTTTAGTAAATCCTGGTTACTGTTAAACAACATTACCAGCAGTCTAGCTATACAGTAACAACTTATTTAAGATGTTTTGTGTATGTTTTTCCTTTCCCTAATCTGGAATTTCCCCCTCATTTGTTTACCATATTTTTAATATCATGGTTATCGTTTACTGATTTCTGTTCTCTAAATTCTAAGATGCGCATTATGTTGATGTCGTGGTGGAATAACTATATTTAAACAGTACTTACGAGACTCACTTAAGAAGTTTGCTTTTCCGATTTTGAAATACCGAATAGGTATTTCGTTACCATTTTTTGTAACTACTCCTGGTTACTGTTATTACCTGTGTACTGGTTATTAATTAGGTCGTCACTTGTGTGACTAAGTGACGTACATTACGAGCAATATCTGAAAACTCATTGCACTTCTATTTTTAGATAAAGATTTACTATTTTTAGTAACGCCTAGTTACTGTTTACCGACTGTGGTATAACAGCATTACCATTTTCTACTCCTGAATATATATTTGTTTACCACATTTAGCACCGTGGTTGGTTACTGTTAGGTTACCTTTTAGTAATTTTTGTTCCCTGAACTGTAAGCTGCGCATTATGCTGATGTCATAGTGGTATAACTATATTACCACAGATTATACAGATTATAATCTTTGTTTTTTCTTTATTGTTTTTCGCGGTTCCAATTTTCGGAATCGGGCACTAGTTAGGTGACTAGTTTGCGCACATAGCCCGCCCACTTATGGCCTCTAAAATTGTGCACAGCGCCTGACCGGCACAGTTATTAGAGAGATATCGGAAAACCGAATAGCGTCATCCAGTATTTACGCGTACCTTATCATGGTTACGATATGCGCGAGTCAATTTTTAACGCAACACCCGCTAATAACGTTACCGCCTGACGTATTTTGCGGATCAATTACACCAAGCGCTATTTCTAAATAACGTTTAAAAATTGCTTAAATGGGCATGTGCGGGTATTTGACAACCGGAGCCGGCCGGCGAGATCTTTTATTTTAGGTTATGTTTGAATTGTTTTGAATTATTGCTTTAGTTTTATTAGGTAATTTGATATTTAAGTAGCTGGGATTAGTTTTAATTATATAAATATGGCCCAAAATATGGATTCCACCTCCTCCAATACTAAAGAACCTATAAAGAGTCTTAGGTTTACAGCAGATGACGATTTAGCCCTTCTAAGAGAATTTGTTGCTTGTTGCCCTAAACCCACTGGCAGACGTTGAACAATAAAGCACTGGAAATAAGCAGCCCTTTAGTTTTAAAATACCTAGTAAACAAAACAATTTCAAAGTTTTAAATTCAAAGTTAGGTTAAGTTTAAATAGCGGACGCGCCGCGATCAGAATTCTTTCCGGTCCGATAACGCCGATAACTATAAATGAAGAGAGTATATATATAATAAATAAAAATAATAATTAAAATATATAAATAACACCTGACCTTATTAACGTTCATGCACGCTATTCGGTTTAGCGATATCTCTCTATTACGCTGTTTATTGTTATTTTACGCGAGTTTATTTTTGCGCCCAGGAAATTTGACTCGTTTGCACATAGTCATAAAAAACAATTTTCGTACCACGAATTAGGGACAAGATTTTTATCTGTATACTTATAGGATACCTAATCTGTGATATTACCATCAGTACATACGAAACTCACTTAAGTATGCTTTTCCGTTTTTCCACTACCAAATAGATATGTGTTTATTCTATGTGTGTGTCTATCTCTTCTAACTCCTGGTTACTGTTTACTGATTACTTTTGTATAAACCTTAAGGTGGGCGCATTATATAGTATATAGATGTCGCAATGGCATACATTACCAGCATACGAAACCCACTGAAGACATTTGCATTTCAGTTTTTTAGATAAAGGTTTACTATCATTTATTATTATATATAACTCCTGGATACTATTTACTTTATGTTCGTGTATGTACTTTTATGTTTGTGTGTTTTTCCGCTCCTGAATAGACATTTTTTTACTACATTTAGAACCTGATGGTTACCGTTTACTGATTGCTTTCGTCTAAACTTTCGATGCACGATCGTTTATTACCTTGTGTAACTCCTGGTTACTCTTTACTGATTGCTGTTGTCGAAACCTTAAGAAGACACACATATTCCTGAATCGTAGGAGTACAATACATGCGAAACTCACTGAATAATGTTGCTTTTCTTTTTTAGATAAGGTTTTTTTTAAGGATTTCATTTATACCTCGTGGTTATTATTTACCAGTTGCTATCGGCATAATGTGCACCTTAGTTGCACGATATGCCGATATCGTAGTTGTACGTTATGCCCGATACCGTAGAAGCAATATTACCAGCAGTACATACTAAAATTACTGGAAAAGTTTGTGTTTATTTTTTGCTACTGCTGAATAGATAAACAAGTTACTTTTGATAATTCCTGGTTATTATTTACTAAATGCTGTTATCTAAACCTTAAGATGCGCATTAAGCTGATGTAGTGGTATATACTATCAGTATTATTAAGAATACGTATAACTTTTCTATTTCATACTGGTGAATAGATACTCGTTTATTGCCTTTTATTACTGTTGGGTATTATTTACTGGCTGTTGTGTAAACCTTAAGATAACATTCCATTATTACCAGCAGTTCACACGAGACTCACTCAAGAATTTTGCGTTTCTGTTTTTATTGCTCAATAGATACTTGCTATCTGAACATTATGCACGATGCCGATGTAGTAATGGCATATCAACATTACCAGCAGCCATGTCCCGGTATCCATATTAGCGACAATCAAGAATTGTTATAGAGTAGTACAGACGATACTCGGTTTAAGATGTTTGTATTGCTGTTTTTCAGTGTTTAATGCAGTTATTTAACGCAGTTCAGTGTCGAATGCAACATATTTAACGCAGTTACTATTGGTATCCCTTGGTTAATGTTTACTGATTGTTATCTGAACCCGAGGGGTGTCTCTATCTTAGCAGTCGCTGGTAGTCATTGGTATCAGTCGACTATAATTATATGGCAGACATAGGTTGTCTTCGCAGTCATTGGCAGTCGTTTGTCAATAAAATTATATTTTGGCATGTACGTTTTTTACCCAAGTGATTTAACATTAAAATAATACCTGAAAAACTCGTCTGAACGAGTTTTTTAGTAACCCATCTGCAGATGCACGGTGAGAGATTGCAAAAGTAAGGGATCGCGACGAGATGGAGATTGGCACGGAACAACTGCGGTGTGCTATCATAACGGCTTATAGCGAAAATTGTCCATTTAAAACAAAGAAGGATAGCAGAAAGTCCTCTTGGTGGAACAACAAACTGGATAAAAAAGGAAAGAAATGCGGCAACTTTTTACTAGCGCTAAGTGTCAGGTAACTAGGAAACTTATCGTACTAAGTTGACGGAGTACAATAAGGAAATAAGATTGTATCCTTCCAAATCCGTGCACTTCGGATCTCTATTGCAGGAGAGTTCTTTCACCTATGCTTATTTTAAACTATGTGTCTGTAAAAAGTAAAGATTTCATTTAAGGTCTCTTTTTTGCTGCCAGGGCTAATCTGGACGGGGCCTACTTTGTTTACGCGGAATCCGAACCGCGGTCCTCGGCCATATCATGGTCAATGGCCTACCGACTTGGCAAGTGTCTAAATCAACTCTTACTCACGAGATATCCGATCTCATCCGGCCTCGAACTGGCGCGAATGAGCAGTGTGTTTCAATAGATTTTACACTTTTGCCTTTATTGGACAACAGCACGATACAGAGTTTCGAACCGGTCACCCGTCCATCCATTAGTATCGCCTTACGTCGCTTAACTTCGGTGTTCTAATGGGAACCGGTGCGCGGTGTTTCGACGTAGCTAGGCCGTTGCCCCTATGTGTCTGTGATCTGAGCACAATGGCTCAGGTGATACCCTTCAGTTGGATATCATGTTGCTGAAATAATTACAGCTTAAGCTAGATTAGGTTATTAAAGCCCCGCAGTACCGTGACTAGGCGTTCATATACTGGGAGGTCGCCCTGTATCCTAGGTTTGCCTCTAGTGGTCGGGTTTTCCCCCTTGGTACAACCTAGAATTTGGGGTTTAAGTTTTTTTGGGGGGTGGAGGGGTTTATAGTAGTGCCTCACCTACGCAGCTTAGACAGTTAAGCCAAAGCCGCCGAAAGATTTACGGTGTGACGGACGTATAAGTCCCGAAGGAGGTCTCGTCCGTCATAGTTTTATGTTTTGGTGCAGTTCCCTAGCCGACGACACTATATCTAGAGACAAGACATCGAGATGCTCCTTAGACCAAGCTAAAGTACCAGAGGGAGCCCCACCGGCGCGGCGTCCTGGCTAGGACCTCCCCACCAACGACAAGTTGTCGCATCTCATAGGCGGAGTCCTACGGGCTTACGG